TTGCGGCGTAAAACACTATCCACTCATTCAGGGGTGCCAGTGTATATGGTACTGTTGTGCAATAATTCCTCGATAGGCGACAGACACATATGAAATGAGACACATGTGTTTGTGTGGCCAGCTGACCAGTCCCTTTGTCCGTCCGTCCCGCACCTGTCCGTACAGGTGTTTCACAACGCAGCACCAACATTCAGCCAGTTTTTCACCATACACTTCAACCTATTTGGAGTTCACCACAAAGTGTGTCAGTAATGATAACGTCTGTTTTTCTCAGCAGTCATGGCTTAAGGTATTTGTTGTCTTGGGTTGGTGTGTTTGCCGAGTGTTGGTAAAGCATATAGAGGCACAGCGTGACTGAGGGACAGCAACTCAGGTGTTTGCAAAGAGATCCGGGCTGTTTGCAGGAGATGATCGGCCCAGATTCCGTGTTCGCCTCAGGTGGACTGTACAGCAACCGCCGACCAGTCACGATAGTTCACTAACCATGTGTACGTGGATAATTGTCTCAACCAACACTGGTTCAGCTCCGCCATTGCTTGGATCAGACGCATGGTCCATATCAGTAGGTATCCTTGGATGATTATTCTCATGAATGATGATGATTATCATGGTGAGTCTCATGTCCGAGTCTGGTTCAAATCAGTTTACCTTCATGCAGTGGCTGTTTCAGAAGAGGAAGCTATGTGACAGATTTAACATGATGGCGTCTGATACCTTGCTTCCAGCCACTTCCGGTTGATGAGATAGCCTAATGGTTATAACACTTGCCCCATCATGTCGAAAACATCGTTGTTCCCGCATAAAAACAATCTGTGAAGTCGATTTTATTTTTGTGCCCAGTATCGGTTTTTCAGTTGAAGGATACGGGACATATCACTCACTCACTCTACCCGTATTAGTATGTTAGCAATACGTTTCTGACCATATTTTAAATATGTGATGGGTTATGAAGCAAAGTAAAAATCAAACTCGACTCAAGGCCCCACGACGTTCAAGGCTCTTCTATCCCGTGCTAGTATCTGCTAGGTTATGCTAGGACCCATTGTACAAGAGTCTCAAGGGATCGGGCGATCACTGTCGGTTGATTGCCTGCATCGAATCCCGTCGTCGTAACCCGGTGCTCCTAATATCAATCACTGGTTTGTCTAGGTAAGAACTGAAATTTACAGGTGCCCCTCATATAGCGGAACTAGTGCTGAGGATGGTGTTAAAGAAGAAACAAACCACTTCCGCCTAGCATATATGGTTCACTCACTCACTCACTCACTCATACTCATGACCTCAAACAATACCTTTGTCATCAGAAATGCAGCAATGTTTGTTTATTATGCTGTAAAGCACCGCCAAACATATATGGCTGCAAACATTTAATATTTGTATTATGGGCCGATGGCCTACATACACTCTGCGAATAAAGAATTTGAATGACCCCTCATCTTTGTTCTTCTAGTGGTTTTTACTATCCCTCGTTTTTTATATAATTATTATGTATACAGAACTTGTTTTAGTCACGATATGGCTGAAATATTGCCGATGTGACTTTAAATATTAACTCACTCACATCCTGCTCATGTTGATGTTTTGCTCTTTTCATTCAATTCAGTTCACGATAAGATCTAACGATAGGCAATGGGAGAAGATAAATGGGTACCTTAGAACTAGTTCTTGCATTAATTACTCTCTGTCAAGAGGCTCATATCAGTACATATGCATACAATGTGTTTTGTATTAGACTGCAAATATTGGTAATCATGTTCTAATCAGGAAAAGATACGACTCTTACTCTTACAAATACGTCGATGACAGCTTGGGTAAAACACAGATCAGTGTTTACTTAATTGTACGACTTTCTCTAAAATAGATGCCCAAGGTCTGACTCTATAGTCATGTGGTTAGAAGTGCTGTTTTCACAGAACGCTTTGTGTTATCTTTGCCCTGGCAGGCGAGATATATTGACGGCGGGCTGTGTAACAATACCTTCTGCATCTATGCATCCTGTGTTGTAAGAATAATGCATGTGAGCATCTGTTGCAGACAGCTCCTCTCACAGTACAGAGAGAAGGGGTGAAGTTCCCCTAAACAATGGCGAGTGCATGTGAATCATCTGCATGCAGCCTGTGTGGTTGTCTGTAGCATGTAATACAGGTGATGTTACAATCAAACATCACTTTATACAGGGGTTTTAAACAAAATACTTGCAGCAGAAAAGGATCATATTTGGTCGATCTAATACTTTATCACCACTGATTGTTTTTCTTATAATCCTCTTCAATGACTCACGTACACTTCAATCAGCCGGATACTCTTCAATCATCCTTCAATCACTCACTTACACTTCAATCATCCGGGTACTCTCAATCATTCTTCAATCACTCACGTACACTTCAATCATCCTTCAATCATCTGGGTACTCTTCAATCATTCTTTAATCATCCGGGTACTCTTCAATCATTCTTCAACCATCCTGGTACTCTTCAATCATTCTTCAATCATCCGGGTACTCTTCAATCATTCTTCAATCATCCTGGTATCCGGGTATCTTCTTCAATCATCCTTCAATCATCCGGGTACTTTCAATCATCCATCAATCACTCACGTACACTTCAATCATCCGGGTACTCTTCAATCATTCTTCAATCACTCACGTTCACTTCAATCACTATTCAATCACTCACGTACACTTCAATCAACCGGGTATTCTTCAATCATTCTTCAATCACGTTCACTTCAATCATCCTTTCTCACGTACACTTATATCAACCGGGTATTCTTCAATCATTCTTCAATCATCCGGGTACTCTTCAATCATTCTTCAACCATCCTGGTACTCTTCAATCATCCTTCAATCATCCGGGTACTCTTTAATCATTCTTCAATTATTCACGTACACTTCAACCATCCTGGTACTCTTCAATCATCCTTCAATCATCCGGTACTTTCAATCATCCATCAATCACTCACGTACACTTCAATCATCCGGGTATTCTTCAATCATTCTTCAAACACTCACGTACACTTCAATCATCCTTCAATCACTCACGTACACTTCAATCAGCCGGGTACTCTTCAATCATTCTTCAGTCACTCACGTACACTTCAATCATCCTTCAATCATCTGGGTACTCTTCAATCATCCTTCAATCATCTGGTACTCTTCATCCTTCAATCATCCGGGTACTTTTCAATCATCCTTCATACATCCGGGTACTCTTCAACCATCCTTCAATCATCCGGGTACTCTTCAATCATCCTTCAATCATCCGGGCACTCTTCAATCATCCTTCAATTATCCTGGTACTCTTCAGTCATCCTTCAATCATCCGGGCACTCTTCAATCATCCTTCACTCATCCTGGTACTCTTCAATCATCTTTCAATCACTCACGTATACTTCAATCATCCACGTATCTACAGTCATCTTTCAATCACTCGGTTACCCTTCCTCCAAACATTCACAAAGCAGCTGTCAATGTTTGATCACACATACAGTCACTGTACATTTTAATCAATAGAAATATTTGCAATATATAAAATATCACTACAGCAATATTTTATATCTCTCACATTTAGTAATGTTCCAACATCATGCACCTTCAACATTATACATACATCACGCACCTCCATTATGTCCACCATTGCGTACATACCTATCAAATGTGTAACATAGGTGCTGCCAATAACAACTGAATCATATTCTTCCATCTCCAACATACACTGTACCTACCTGGAAGCAGCACAATAGTGTACCCATGACACCATCATCTATAATAAATATTCCGTCAAATTATTCATGCCTTCCTAACAAGCTCTCAGTCCTTACAATGTAAAGCAAAAACCAATTACAAAAGATACCAATATAGCCATACAACCGAACACATGGCCAAATCAAGTAAGCTTACCCAGTTAATCCTTTGAAACTATAAAGTGTTTTTCTAGAGTGAAAGGTAGCAGGTAAAAGGCTCACAATCTGACCTTTGATCTATTAATGACCATGTACATAGCGAGCAGGACATGTTGACCATGATTTATCATTTTATCTAGCTGGTTGAGTATGTTGTTTGAGCTGATGGAACATACCATGATAAATGTTTGTTCTGTTTATTCTGGCTATGTAGTATCCGATGTTTCACCGATAACACATTGGTACACGAGGCATGGATTGGTACGTTGTCGTGGCAGTTGGTGGCAGTTCAGGTACAACAGACCGGAGTTCTAGATAATCTGCGCATTATACTCCAAGTACACCAATTAATGTGGTACGTAATCAGTGTAACTCATTGCCACCGCTTGTGTACGTGTATTCCTTTATATATGTACAGATAGGATGTAGACATATTGTACAAACGACCCCAACATTAGGTATTAATGTCTAGCAGTGGTAACCCAGACATGTATTTCGTTGTTTTGCTTTTTGGTGAGACTTGGGTCAGTACATAAACAGATGCAACATTGGAAGAAAATTAATCAAGATTTAGTTATTTAAATACTTATTGTGCATTGTTAATTGGCTTTTTTATATTTTCCTATTATCATGTTATGTCCTACGTGACTCTTAAATTAATCCAATAATCACCACGTTCTTGATTGTTTTTCTTGACATGACTTGAAAAAGACTATCGCATTTACGTAAAAGCCTAAAAGCCTCCCTTAATTAAATACGTCCTGTTGCCTTATATCCAAGAGAATAATGGTTTATGTAAGTACACCTGATTTTCCCAAGTTTTACCATTACATAACGAAGCATTATGAGGTGAAGAGTTGGCGACGTGAAGCAGAGCTCGGAGTACAAATGGCTTATACTGTGGCGTTCGCAAGCAGAGAAAGGGGGAACCCCTGAACGCGGAGGAGTGGGAGGGTTGAGACGGCGTCAGTGGCAGCGTGAGGAGTGTCGGAGGAGGGGATGTCCTCCCAAACACCGCAGCAGCAGCAACCATGGCGGTGCTTGTCAGTCTTATTAATGTTGGTTTAGACGGAGAAGTATCCAGTTGAACTAGGACATTGAGCAAGAAGGATGCCAAGTTTGTAACTCATTCATCTTGGGTACTATACATATTTGAATGCACGCAGAGAGGAGTTTACAACATCGACACATTAACCAACCACGATGACAATGACACTCGTAGACGTCATCTTTGCAGCGTGGGTGAGTACAAGTGTGGTAGTTCAACAGCATTGTGTATGTGTTGTGTAGGGCTGGTAGCGACATGTTCAGCACGCAGGTTAGTATGAGGGCCAAACATCTGTGTTGTAACATCTGAAACAGTTCAAGTAAGACACAGTGCTTGCCGTGGCGATAGAGTGAAGGAAGCTCATATACTTAACCCGAAGCATGGATAGACGAATCTACCCATGACTGGACCGGACCGGAGAAAGAATTTATTTTGATATACTTTTTTCAGCAAGTTAGCCTCTTAATTCTTTTATGCATTCATTCATTCATTCATTCATTCATTCATTCATTCATTCATTCATTCATTCATTCATTCATTCATTCATTCATTCATTCATTCATTCATTCATTCATTCATTCATTCATATGTTTAAAAACTTCTTTAATTTATAAAAATTTCATTTTTTGTAAATATATATGTCCTTAGTTATTCAGGCGTCTGTCAATCAGTTCACTGTTCCTTTTGTTGACACCTAATCTTTCATTCATTTCTATCAGCGTATACATGAATGATCTACTGAGATATTCAATCTATTTCTTCAGTCACACTAAAATCCAAAGTATGTGCAAATTATAAGCGAGAGTTGCATCAACAATCCTTTAGAAACAATTCTGTAGCTTTTTCCAGCGATGTATGAGAATTTCGTGCACTGAAGCACTGCTGACTGGCGACCGTTTATGACATAGCATACAGCCCTGTGGGGAAATGTCATGAGCGACCCAAAAAATACAAGCATTGCTATGTCAGAACGGAGATGGAATTATTACTATTTCCGACATGTCGAGAACGTGAATGAATTTAGCTTTGGGCGTGAAAACCTGTAATGTTGAGCTGTGCAACCCTCGCCTTTGCTGAAGTCAAGGGGTTTGCACTTGTCTGCGGGAGGCAGTGCAGGGTTGTGTATATCCAAATGGGTCAGATCCTACTGTATGGATGACTCTATGTTGATTTCGAGATATCTTTGTTTTCCTTGGCTTGTGTGTTTACACGTAAAGTGCACTATTTTCTGCAACCCTTGATGTCAAGAAGATTGTGTTTAAATCTCTGATTTCAATAACCACAGTACTTAAACCTAATTTACAAACCTTCTGGTTTGTGGCGAGGGGAGTGTTTACCTAAACAGCATTATCATGGAGGACAAACGGCGTTCTGTAGGGCTGGGATTGGACCATATACATATGGTGTGTGTTTTCTACATTTGTGAACGATTTGGCACACACATATAGACAACATTCACCCAAGATAATAATTGTAGGAAGCTGCTTGTATAAAATTACGCTCTCTTGGAAACCTTGATATTTTATCTTCACTCAATGTCGCCTGGAATGTACTGTAACACTATTAATGATCAGTTCGATCCTTCTCTACGTGTTATCAAAGGGAATACGGTTTATCCTGTACTGGGTAGGTTTAGCAGGATAAGGCTAACGTATAATGTATTTGCGGTGGATGATGAAAATGCAGCAATGAAAGGCCAGGTGGGTACTGCTTTCAGTGTTTACAAACATGGCGTCGCCCTTGTCAATCTTGTCAATAAAGAACGTTGCTATACTATTGTGATAGATGGTATGATTACCGAAACGATAGTCTGAGGTACTGAAAATATGTATCTGGACATTTTACACGTCAGGGAAACGTTTTTAGATATGAACCGCGAAACAACTGAGCGACGAAACCTAACCAATCCTGATTCCTTAAGAACTCTTGCAGGTTCTTCCGAATCCAGTTGTATTTGGCGGAACCGTGACCAATCTGTTACCGTATGTCATTTTGCGTGTGCAATCATCTGAGTCCGCACTTCCTCATGACCAGCTGAGTACAGGCCACGCAGCCTCTAAACAAACCTAGATAGAAGGCAGTTATTTCAGCCTGCTTGTGTACCCAATTGTAATTCTGCCTTTATGTGGTTACGCCACTGTCTCAGAAACTGCTTTCAGACTAAGACCAATCACTGACCGACAAATTAAGACCAATCACTGTCCGACTAAGACCAATCACTGTCCGACTAAGACCAATCAATGTTCGACTGAGACCAATCACTGTCCGACTAAGACCAATCACTGTCCGACTGAGACCAATCACTGTCCGACTAAGACCAATCACTGTCCGACTAAGACCAATCTCTGCCCGACTAAGACCAATCACTGTCCGACTAAGACCAATCACTGTCCGACTAAGACCAATCACTGTCCGACTAAGACCAATCACTGTCCGTCCGACTAAGACCAATCACTGTCCGACTAAGACCAATCACTGTCCGACTAAGACCAATCACTGTCCGCAATCACTGTCCGACTAAGACCAATCACTGTCCGACTAAGACCAATCACTGTCCGACTAAGATCAATCACTGTCCGACTAAGACCAACCACTGTCCGACTAAGACCAGTCACTGTCCGACTAAGACCAATCACTGTCCGACTAAGACCAATCACTGTCCGTCCGACGTAAGACCAATCACTGTCCGACTAAGACCAATCACTGTCCGACTAAGACCAATCACTGTCCGACTAAGACCAATCACTGTCCGACTAAGACCAATCACTGTCCGACTAAGACCAATCACTGTCCGACTAAGACCAATCACTGTCCGACTAAGACCAATCACTGTCCGACTAAGACCAACCACTGTCCGACTAAGACCAATCACTGTCCGACTAAGACCAATCACTGTTCAACTAAGACCAATCAATGTCCGACTAAGACCAATCACTGTTCGCAATCACTGTCCTACTAAGACCGATCACTGTCCGACTAAGACCGATCACTGTCCGACTGACACATTGCGGACCTTCTGACATTAAATATAAATTCATGCGCGCGTGACGGGAAAACTTGCAAAGTTTAGGCACTGTTTGCAAGAAATGAAAACACATTTTACGACCACAGAATGTAAGAATGACATAATCTGGCTTATGCCTCATTGGAACACTGTGTATTTAGCCATTTATATTCATCCTCAAGATATTTACCATCCCAAACACACTCGACCATAAAGGAATGAGAAACAAGGGCGCTTCGTTGGTCTATGAGAAGTAACTCATCACGTTTGCGGTGCCAAGATCTGAAGAACTAAGACCATGGCGACGACGTCCGCACTAAGACCAATGTGTTATGGAAAGAGACGCATGGGTAGGTGCAAGCATCATGGTATGAGGTGGAATCAGGCCTGAACCAGAGAGTGGGTCTTCTGGTGTTCCAGAACCTTGGTCCAGGGACAGGAGGCGGCATCACAGCGGTGCGCTACATCGGCCAAGCTCTCAGACTCCACGTCATACCATATTTCGCACGTCACCGGAACAACAGTTTTCAGCATGATAACGCCCATGCCCATACTGCCAGAGCTACACGGGACTTCCTACAGCAGAACGGTGTCAACATTATGCAGTGGCCAGCCCTTAGTCCTGATTTAAACCCAATTGAACATCTTTGGGATGAAATTCAGAGGAGACTGAATAATGTCATACCAAGGCCGAACACAGCCGATTTATTGCGCCAGGCCTTTCTCAGAGTGTGGTTCCAGGTGCCATTGGCCTTCATTGGTGCACTCCATGCACAGACGCTGTGCTGCAGTTATTGCCGCTCGTGGTGGTCACACTAGATACTGAAGTCAAGGGTCTGAATGGACTGCAAATGTTCCCGTAATGTCTTGGAATTGTCTTGGAGTTATTCATCGATGTGTCAAGATATTGAACACAAAAATTGTTATTGATCCGCTTATTATGTCCATTTCTGTAATGATCTGATTACAGTGACTATCTAATTTTGAATTCGTACTGACGTGTTTTTTTTGCTGCTGAGTATATATGAAGTCTCCATTAGCACTCTATATTTCAGGTTCTTTATCAGGTTATATGTTCTCAAACTATGAGTAGTGAATGTCGTCAAACGAAATGTTATTACAGTAGACAATCACACATATCGCACCTATACTGAACACTGGCCGCTTCCAAATGAGACAGTGGCTTTGAAAAGAACTGTTCAATTCAGTTTCCAAATTTGAACTGTTTCCAAATTAGAAAATAGCCTTATAAAGCAGGTGCTCAATACAGTGGACAGCTTCCCCATTCATGAGAACCACATCCTGGCTACTGTTCCCTCATTAGTTCATTCACGAATGTTCACAGGGTTTTTCACTTATCGTCGAGCTCCCGTTACAGGAGTCCTGCCAGCTGGCCTGGTTTGTTACTGTTACAGCACAGGCCCGTCTTGCAGATGTCGTGGGAAGACTGTGACGATGGCGGTGCTGCCAGCTATGTAGTTACAGATGCTGCCAGTAGATGTTCACATGTCTGCTAGACGTAACACTTCTGCTTTCAGTCGTGTTGGTCCACAAGGTGCCTGGAATTATTCTTCTGAAACTCGTTGCCTTGGTTCCGAGATAACGCTGATTGAGTTATATTTGTTCTCCTAATTCTGTAAATAATATTTGTTTTGAGGAAAGAAAAGTTTGATTGTGATTTTCCGACATTGAACAGGCTACTGCATTAAAGTGTTAACGCAAAACCCATTGCCCAAGAAAGATATACGTTTTTGTTGTAAAATCTCCCCAGTCCATTTCGTCAGAAACAAACCCGAAAGCACCGAGAAGATCCTTGTAGCCTTTAACATATGTGTTGTTTACCATACCACGACACAATGTATTCATATGTATTACTTTGTTGATTGGTAATACAAATACTAGTTTTGCTTTGAAGGACTAAAAGCAAATGGTTTTCTCACTCCTAAAACATTTCCAACCAGCATTTTTTGTATTCCCAAGATGGAAACGCAATGTCACCTGACTTCCTGAAGAGCCAAAACATTATCTCGATTTTTAACAAAATGAAATCTGTCCTTAAGGACGTAAGCTATTAGATACGTCAGGGAAAGTCAAGCGATAATGTCGCGCGTAGCTTATGTCACATCAATCACGCATGTGTTTTGACTCAGAAGGTATTAGGGCATAATTCGTTTGAAATGGGAGATGGAG